ACACCTTTATCCACGGGATAAGGTAAGGCAAAGCCCTTGCCAGTAACCCCAGATCTTGGACTCTTTAGCTCTAGAGCTCTAGACTGTAAAAAAAAAAATTATCTTCAATATAAATCACCTGGTGTGTGGTGGTAGAGCCACAGGAAAGGGAAATAGAGGGTAATTAAGCTTGCTCTCAAGAACATCTCACACAATATCACCTTTCTAGGTTAGTTTCCTGCATGGCCCTTGTCGGAGCTCTTAATTCCAGCTTCACAAACAGCTGCATGTGTCCAGACACACCATGCCCACAGGCCTGCTAGTAACAAGTTGCCCTCAACTCCAGAGTCATCCTTTTTTTTTTTGAGTCTATCATACAAGTATACCATTGTTGGCCTGACTCCTTCTGTTATATCCTATAAGACTTGGCCCAAGAGACTCTTTAAGAAGCTTTTCAGAACCTTCTTTATCAGACTAAAGTCACCTGAGCAGAGACCCACTGTTCTTGGAGTTGAACTCAATCTAGAAAGTTCTTCTGAGATCTCTAAGTCATGAGCATGTGGTAAACAAACAGGCAATAGAGGGAGGGCCAGCATCAAAACCTCTAGAATATCAACCCGAACAACCTCTATGGTGAGTTTTTGTATGTTTGCTTTCTTTCTTTTTCTGAGAGAAAGGGTTTCTCCATGTAATAGCCTTGGCTGTCCTAGAGTTTGCTCTGTAGACCAGACTCAGATCAAATCAGGATCAGAGAGATCTACCTGCCTCTGCCTCCTGAGTGCTGGGATTAAAGGCATGCGCCGCCACTACCTAGCTCAAATATCCCTTCTAGACACGGAGAAAACACCTGGGTTATGGTTACCTACATATCCTTGTTTTATTTTCCAAGTTAAAGGAAGTGCATTCTAAGATGCACACAATATGTAATTATGTACACACAGGTATATGTAATTTGTACACGTATGTATAAACATGCATATTATTGATTCTGAAGGAGAAGACTGTTTTAATTCATTTGTAACTCATAACAAACAGATCTGGCCCTAAACTAACGGGACTGCTCCCTGGAGCAGTCCATGTGTTCTTGAGACAATCCATCTGTACTACCACCAATAAGTTGCTCCTGAAACGGTAAGGCAGCTCTCTGAGTCCTGCAGAGAAATGATTCAAATTTGTCTAGCTCTCTGCCTTCTCTTTATCCATTTGGTTCACCAGTTTGTGAGCAAATTTCGGAAAGAACCTTCCAAAGCTGCTGCAGCAGCATAGAGTAAAGAGAGGACAGCGGAGGCTTTGTGCCTGTGTAAGTAGAGCGGCTGCCCCAGGTGATCACATCGTTTCAAAACATTCTTTCCTTCGTTCCTTGTGTAACACTAGCCAGGAAGGAATTACACACATTTAAAAAGTGATACATTAAGAACTCTTCCCAATGGGCTTGCACCAATGTGGGTGTTATGATTCTATGTTCCTAGGGAATGGTTCTTTCAAGGCAGAAACTTGAATTTTCTTCAATGTCTGCCACCCCATCAATTCCTAAATGATGTCTACAGCTTACTAAATGGTCAACTTAAAACTAGAAATAATAAATCACAAATCACTGGACACAAACTTTGTAGCATAAGAAACTTGATAGTGACTTCGTTATGTCTCTTCTGTGAATAAGACACCTATTTTTATCATTATTTTAAAATTTTCACTGAAAATTTAACGCAGGTCAATTGTTTCAAAGCTAAAAATGTTAGAAATCAAGAGAATAAAATGAGCCAACATGCTATCAGAACACTCAAGAATGGCTATTTTCTGTCATTTGGTGTGCCTTTCTCTCAGTCTTTTAAAGGGGCTTGTATTAATAGATAAAGCTTATATGGTTCATACCATTCTTACTTTTCAAATGATACATTTTCTGAAGTGATGAATATTCTTTGCAAACTCCATCTTAATGGCTATAACTATTACAAGTTATTTTCCACCCACATCAGATTATACTTCTCCCACTGCCATGGACGTAGCAAGTTGTCATGACCTATGAGACTATACTTAAACTTTCCTCTACTTCAGCTCTTCCTGTCTTCCTCCTTCGCTTCTAGACTTCAGCTGTACCCCGGGGACTTGTGTGCACCACACTCTCTCCGACATCCTGCACCCTCACATGCTGACCCTTCTAGGACCGTGGTTCTCAACTTCCTAATGCTGGGACCCTTTAATACAGCTCCTCAAGTTGTGGTGACCCCCAGTCATAGAATTGTTTTTGGTTACTTCTCTATAACTGTAATTTTACTACTTTTATGATTGTAAAGTAAGTTTCCAAGTTTTCCTAAGGCCTTAGGTGACCCCTGTAAAAGGATTGTTCAATCCCCAAATGGGTCACGACTCATATTTTGAAAACCAGTGTTCTAACACCTCTTTCTTAACTTCTCAATTCCTTCCATCTCCCTATTACTGGTTGGCTTTTTCCCCTAAGTAGTTTTTGCTGATCTCTAATGACCAGGGTCAAAATGGCAGGGTGGTGGTGGTACATGGAGAGAATAAAGGATGGGGTGTCTTGAGTTTGGTTCTTAATTTTTAGAAGGATGTACACAAAAGAAGCTGAGAAGAGCTCTCAAAGGAAAGCCAAAGAGGTTATGCTACATAGGAATTTAGCAGGAAAATTTGTCAAAATTTATAGACCAATTGAAGCCAGGATTACTGGCTTACTCCTATATTCTCAGCGCTCAAGCGGGTGAGGCATGAAGGTCCTGAGTCAGAGCCTAACCTGGTCTATTTGTTTCTTTACGGTTGCTGTACTAAAATGCCATAACCAATGCAATTCATATAAGAGAGTTCATTTTGGCTCTTGGTTCCAGAGGGATAAGAGTCCATCACGGTGGGAAGGCATGACAGCAAGTGTCAGGCCTGACAGTAGGAGCAGGTAGCTGAGAGACCAATCACAAGCACAAGGCAGAGAGAGAACTGAAAATTGGGCAAGACTATACATGCTTAAAGCCCATCCCCAGTGACATACTTCCTCCAGGGAGACCAGGCCTCCTAAATCTTCCCAAACAGCATCACTATCTTGGGATCAAATGTTCAACTGCCTGAGTCCATGGGGGGACATTTCTCATTCAAAGTACCACACTGGGGTTAAAACAATGTGATCTGTACCCCTCTTTTTGTTTTTAAAACAAGAACTAACTACTGATATGCTTAACACATAAAAATTTCAAAATCATACTAAGTAACAAAGTAAGAAAAGAAAAATATACAGTATACAATTTGAGTGATATAGATGCTAAATAATCTAAAATATACCCACAGAAAGTACATCAGTGAGTGTCTGGAATCACAGGCATATTGAGCTTGACTGAATGGGGAACTAGGTTAACTTTTGAGTTATTGGGAATTTTCTGTGTACTGATTGTAGCTGTGGTTGTTATAAGTTTACACACTTGGAAAAAAATCCATCAAATAGTAAATTCTGCACCAGCAAACTTTTTGGGCAGAGGGGTCCAAGGTGGGAAATTACATCCAAAGCTATTGCAAAGTGAGATAGGTCAAGGACAGAGATGGAAACTTTGAAAATAGCATTGTTAGAAGCCATGTTGTGTTAAGCAGTGTTTTTTGTTTGTTTGTTTGTTTTTGTTTTTTTTGGTTTGTTTTTGTCCCAGAGACAAAACATCTAATTAAAAAAAAACTTAAATGAGGGAAAATGTGGTTTCAGTCTATGGTAGGTTGGCTCCATCTCCTTAGGGCTGTGATGAGCCAATATATCCTGGCAGAAGACTGTAGCTACTCATCTCATAGCAGCCAGGAGTCAGAGAGACAGGGAGGAGCCAGAGACAAGCAGTAACCTCCAAAGGCTGCCCCTACCCAGCCCTCTCTTCCTGTTCAGTGTGAATGCAATAGTGGGTTAACCAGTTGATGAAGCCAGTACCCTTGTGACCCAGTCATCTCTCAGGATCAGCACCAACTGGGGACCAAGACTTATTTAATAAGTCTTGGTAACAATTTCATTTCAAAAAAAAACTTCATTAATAATTGTTTTGATGACAGGCCATGCCTGCCAGAAAGCCAGGTGGGCTGCCTACAGATCATCTATTTTCCCTCTTTTTCCCAAGATCCATTCCCCAAGCCTCATCCCCAACTCTGCAGCAGGACAACTGTGGCACCTCTGTTTCCAAATTCTATGGATCCCACAGACCTTTCTCTCTTAGCCTTCCTCCCCCTATGTGTAGCTTTATCCCAGCCTCAATTCTAGCAGGCACTCCCTGCTAACCCACAGACCACTCCTGCAAGGGAAGCAGGTAGACTATCTTTAAATCCTGCCCTCTTTTTCTGTCCCTCTTGATTCGACATCCTAGTCTCATTCTATTTCTGCAGCAGACCCTCTGGGGTAAGCTCTCTTCACGGTCTCCCCCTGCTCCAAGAAGATGAAATGAGTAGATCCTGGTTGAACACTCTGCTCTCCTTCCTCCTCTGAGCTCCCAGGACTCAGAAACACATTTTACCCGCAACCCCCAGTGGCCAAAACCAACAGGTACAAAGAAAATTTCCTCCCAGCCAATACACAGCCATCACATTCTCTGAAAATCCAGAGAGGAAACTAAGGAACAAAACACCCACCCAAGAAAGACAAACCCAGAAATCAGCACCTAGACCTATAATCATCCTAATTCTAGATGCCTAGACACCAGTATTTTGTTATTTTAGTGCTATCTTGATACCCGAATCACATAAAGACTCAACAGAGTCACAGACCAATTTTCCTTATAAACATAAGTGCAGAAATACTTAATAAAATACTAGCAAACAGAATCCAAGAACACATCAAAAAGATTACCCACCATGATCAAGTTGATTTCATCCCAGAGATGCAGGAATGATTATATATATATCAGTCAATAAATGTAATTCACCATATAAATAAACTGAACGACAAAAACCACATGATCATTTCATTAGATGCAGAAAAGGCCTTTGACATAATCCAACACCACTTCATGATTTAAAAAAAAGGTACTGTAGAAAGTCCTGCAGCCAGTAGTTACCTGCCCACTGGGACATGGCCTCTTAGACTATGTTTATGTCGATGTAGAGCGTGTGTCTGGCCTCTTTTCCAGCTGTGGGATTAGGTTTCTGATCTTTGTTCCAGCAGAGGATTCTGATTTGTGAGTCTATTCCTAAATAAATAACCGTCTATTTCTCAATTCTGAGCTAGTATGGGATTTCTTTTAAGTGTCCTTCTTCAAAAAGGATATTAGGGGTACAAGGGACATATCTAAACATAAAAAAGCAGTTTATGGCAAAGCCATAGCCAACATTATAGGGTAAAAGGGTCAGCCAAAGAAATCTACCCTTACCCTGAAACCTGAGCCAGTGAGAGAAACACTCTTTAGCCCTGAAATCAGAACTAAAGAAACACACCCTGACCCTGAAACTAGAGCCAAAAGGTTAAAAAGAGCCGGTGAAAGAAACACTCTTTGGCCCTGAAACCAGAGCCAAATCTGCTCCTGACCAACTGAGCGTGAAACCAACCAATACCTGAGCACAAAACCAAACAATTCCTGAACATATAATCTAGCCAATTTGAGCTTATCCAAGACAAGGGGATTGAGATCTGACCAATTCCCTCCCTGAAAATCTTCTGCCTGGAAAAACTCTTTCCCTAAGAATCCCTATATAACCCCTGTGCCTGTTCAGTTGGTAGCTGCCCTTCACCCTGGAAGAGGCAGATACATTTCTGGATTCCTCCTTCCCAAATAAATCTCTTGAAAAATTTTTGGATGAAGACCTTCTTTTCCTTTGTGGAGCAGAATCTTTGCTGGGAAACTCTCTTTGCAAAGTGGCGCAGAGAAGCAATGTACACTTATGCTGGGAAGCTCCCTTAGGGGAGTGGAGCAGAAGTAACAACTTTTCTATGGAGCCATAGCAGACTGCTATATTTCTGCAGGGATCTCCCCTTTAGGAGAGTGAAGCAGAGAAGTAACTATTTGGGCCAGAGCTAGGAAGAAACAGACCTCCCTGTTGGGAAGCTCCCCTCTGGAGCAGGGCAAAGAAGCAACAGACACCTCTGCTGGGAATCTCTCTTAGGGGAGTGGAGTAGAATCTCAGCAAGGATCAGGGTTACCACATCCTCCTGGGAGATCATCTCCCACCAGAAACCAGCTTCAGGAGCTTCAGGTCTAGCCTGACTTCCCAACAGTCAGGATACCTTTCTCCTCACATTGTAGATATCCAGGACACCCTCTCTTCACAGCTTCAGATATAACCTGACTTCCCAACAAGCCAGGGTACCTTTCCTTCTGGAGCTGTAATACTTGCAAATATCAACTTAAGTGGAGAGAAACTCAAAGCAATTCCACTAAAAGCAGGAACAAGACAAGGTTGCCCACGATCTCCATACCTATACAATATAGTTAAATAAGTTAATATACCTTAGCTAGTATTGTTCTTTTAAAAAACTAATAAGATGTTGGGATGTCCCAGACAGCTCGCGGAGCAGCTGCTAGTGGCTGTGAGTCCCCGCAAGATCTCCAGGGTGGCAGCGCCATGCAGCCAGGGGAGTCAGGGTCCCCAAGCCAGCGGCAGAGTCAGGCGGCTGGATGCGGAGGACGGCAGAGTAAATGGACATAAGGCTATACATAAAGCTAGACATTTATTACTTAAAGAAAGGGAGACAGACAAACATAGAGAGAACAAAGACACACACACACACACACACACACACACACGCACGCGCACACACGAGAGAGAAGATGGCGGTGGGGGGAGGTCCGAAGTGACTGGGGTGGGCATGGTTAGTTCTTAAAGTGTTCCAAAGTAATAACAGCTAGAATAATAAGATTGAAGGGACACAGTTTGGAAAGAAAGAAGTCTAAGGATTTTTTTTCATGCTTGGTTTTGTGGTGGCTAGAAAGAAAATGGCCCCCAAAGGAAGTGGCACTATTAGGAGGTGTGGCCTTGATTGAGTAGGTGTGGCCTTGTTGGAGGAAGTGCATCATTGTGGAGGTGGGCTTTGAGGTCTCATATATGTTCAGGCTATCACCCAGGACCTGAGACCACTCCCTGTTGCCTACATAAGATGTAGGCCTCTCTGCTACCTCTCCAGCACCATGTCTGTCTGCACATCACCATGTGCCTCCATGAGGATGATACTGGACGGAACCTCTGAACAGCAAGCAAGCCTCTCGAATTAAGTGTTGACTTTTATAAGAGTGGCTGTGGTCATGATGTCTCTTCACAGCAACAGAAACCCTAAGACAGGTTGTTATCGCTTAAAAGCCTGTTTCTAATGAAAGACAGAAAGGGAGTGGATCTGGAGGGAAAGGGAGGAGAACTCGAAGGAGTAAAGCAGGGGGGAGGGAATGTATTTCCAGAAGAAAAGAGTATTTTTGATATAAGTAGGCTGAAGAGTGAAGGGAGCTTAGGGAGTGTAAAACACGTTTTACTTTTATTTATTCTGTGCGTGTGCGCATGCGCACACATGTGACCGTAGGCATGTAAGGGTTAGAAACAGGTTCTGAGCGTTCATTCTCTCCCGCCGTCATGCAGGTTCTGGTAGTTGGTTGTTTTTTACTCTTTCACTGTTGCCCTTTTGCTCTTTGACTCTTGGGAACCTACCACCCAGCTCCCATATAAATACACACAGAGACGTCTTCTTATTTATGAATGCCTGGCTTTAGGTTAACTTATTTCTAGCCAGCTTTTCTTAACTTAAATTATTTCCTCTACCTTTTACCTTTCTCTATTTCTGTATATCTTTTCTTCTCTTCTCATTCTGTAACTGGCTGTGTGGCTGGCCCCTTCTTCTCTCGCTTCTTGATTGCCCTCTTCCCAGATTTCTCCTTTTATTTATTCTCTCTGCCTGCCAGCCCCGCCTATTCTTTCTCCTGCTTCGCTATTAGCTGTTCAGCTCTTTATTAGACCAATCAGGTGTTTTAGGCAGGCAAAACAACACAGCTTCACAGAGTTAAACAAAAGCAACATAAGAATGCAACACATCTTTGCATCATTAAACAAATGCTCCACAGCATAAACAAATGTAACACACCTTAAAATCATATTCTACAACAGGTTCCAGAGATCAAACACACACTGTCAGGCTTGTTGACAAGCTCTGTTATCCCTTGAGCCATTTTTGCTACTCCCTCCCTGCAATGCAGTTCTTTTTAAGAACTTTGCTTTGAACCAAAGTCAATAAATGGGTGATAGTTTGTGGCAGTCAAGTACGTTTCTTAACATTGGCTATTTAAGGCATGGCTGGATGCTGCTGGGAACAGCCCAGTGGTGGGAGTGAGACTAATGATATGAGAGAAAATTGTGATGAAGGCAAGAGAGTCCTTGATACAAACCTCAGAGAAAGCATCCATCTGGGACCAGAGCTGGAAGGACATCCTTCACATTAGCTGGGTGGTGGACTGGGGAGGGGCAACAGATGAGCAGCTCTCTTTGATGTCTGTGTGCATTAAGGATGACTTTGGGAGAAGCTATTGGGGGTTTAAGGAGAGACAGTAACCCGGGAATGCCCTCTAGAAGAGAGCATTTTCTAGAGAATATGAGAGGGGTGTTTGGTTGAGGTGACTGTGTCTTTAAGCTTTATCCAGAGGGAAGCCCACTGACACAGGTGTGAGGTTTCCAGCAGCTACGCTCAGCTCCTGGACCACAGGCACACAGTTTCCAGGATGTTCTCTCCCCCTGAGGTTGACATATTCCAGGTGACATTTAAATAGAGCTGGCAAAGCTTCTTTATAGTTTCAAGGCAGGGATTATCTGATATGCACAGGTGTATCATGTAGGTGATATGTAGGTGAGGTGTGAAGATAAGAGGTGTGCCATAGATAAAGGAAAAGTGGCTATTAGCAGGTAGAATGCTCTGCCTGGGTGAAAGCATTTGGGGAGGTCAGAAAATCAATTGAAAAGCTAAGAGATGGAGATCTGTGAGTCTGGCGTTTAAAATCAAGATGGCAGATTTGTTCTTCTTTTTTTTCTTTAATGTGAGTGATGGCTGCCGTGAGTGGAGGTCAGCCCCGAGCTTGTCTATGGTTTGCGATAGGTTTCTGCGTGCATCCGAAGTCTCCAGAAAGGATTGGCTGCAGGCATAGACCTGGGGAAGAACTGTAAGCCCAGACTAGAGGCTAAATTAGGCGGCGTGAGTGACCAGCTGGGACTCAGCAAGTAATGGCCTCACAGAAAGACAGAAGTCTAACTGACAGCTCACTCATCCTTACTCCTAACCACTAGCTCCAGCCCGCCAGCGCTTTGTGCTCCCTTAGTGTGGTCTGGAAGGTGGGAAGGAGGAATCAAAGCCAAATTGATTTCAGCTGTGCTTTAATGTGTGCTCCCCCCACCCCTGCTACCCCATTGATTTTCTACCTGGAATCACTTACTCATGTTTTTCTGGATGAATAAAGTTTGAAGCAAGGTCTGCTGATGGAATTAGAGGTGTTCCGAAGGATTTTCTCCATGATTGCCCGATGCTAACAGCTGTTACAACGCTGGGGTGAAATTCTACTCATGGGATTACTTTACTGAGCCTTGTTAACTGGTGCAGACCCAAAGCCAACTGTTGGTACCTGGTATCATGCCAAAATTCCTCCTCCACCCTCCCCAGTCACCTGTACAGGGCAAACCTTCATCCCCAGCACACTTTTTCTATTAGTGGTGTTCCTTAAATAATAAAAAGCCCAACCCTATTATTAATAAGCATAATTATAGTAATGATCTTTTATTTAATGTCTCCCACATGCCTGGTACTATACTAGTTATAATAAGGCCTTAAAATCCAGCATACTGCAACACAACATGGTAGCTCACTAGGGTCTGTCTGTCCATTCACTGCGTGCATTCTGCGTACTGAACAAGTTGTGGAACTTGCCAGGCTTGGCTGCAAGAGGCTTTGCTTGCAGAGCCCATCTCCCCAGCCCTCGTCGGCTTTTGTTTTCCTCCAGGCCTCTGTGCTCTGGTTGTGTAATGTGCTGTACTCACTGTGATCTGGCAAAGGTTTAAGGCCGTGATAAAGAGATTGTGGCCCAAATATTCTTGCGCAAGATCACATTGTATTAAAAACTGGCTATCGATGGAGACTCAGAGTTGAATTTGAAATGGATGTGTTCACACTCTTGTATTTGTCCTCATTATGCACTGAAG